CCCCCCCCCCCCCCCACCCAACCCCCTCCACCCGCTGGCTGATCGTATACTCAACTTTATCATGCTATTCATTTTTTTAATTAAAACCCTATAGTTTTAGACGCAGGCTAGCTTTGTTTAATGATGTCAAAAAAGAAACTGCCATATTTAGAAGCACCTTCCGTCCCATAAGCAAGGATGCTATTTCGAAAAGCAAAACGAAATATCAGAGCATCAGAGACCTTATGGCAAGAACCAGGAGAGCAAATTAAAAGAATCAACATTACCGGCTTCTTGAAATCAAGCCATCTCCACCTCGAATTGATAAGAGGCACTGAATCACAGAGCAGACAATGTATGTTTAGACTCACATAATGTAACTTTCCATGAAAAAACATTTTACTTGTAAAATTGATTATTTTGTTACCGTCGGGTAAAATTTGAGGAAAAAGAGAAACTGTTGTATCTCGTTTCGGCAAGTTAGAAGTTAGTTACGTTAGTTTGTTAAAAGAGCTCAGTATAGCCAAAGAAAAGTGATTATATTAAACAGTTGGATTATGAGCTAGAGATTTCTATCACGCGATAGAAAACGAGAGCGAATAACTGGTTTAGGGCGTATATATCTACTAGTCGTTGGAAACTTTATCTAAGTCAGACACCTCGAAAACGTAAAGAAGCGGCCGTCATGTTGTTAACAAGGGCACACTGCTACGCTACTCACTATCTATCACAGAATAGATAGCGAGTAGCTTAGCCAATCAAAGAAGTGCATTCGTGATAGAACGCTAGGAGGTTTACACTAATTAACAATTAGATTATGAGCTCGAGATTTCTATGAGGTGATAGTTGATGAAGCCGAAGGCCGAATCAACTATCACCTTATATAAATCTCGAGTTCATAATCTAATTGCTTTAGTATTTAGTTCTAACTGAAATTTGCTTCAAATAACGATTCCAAATATTTTTGGTCGTAATATTAAACTTCTCGCTTTAGAGAATTCGCTCAGACTAACTTGTCAGTTTGACGTTTTCAGTTGTGTGCGCGTGCTTATCAGTTTCTTTCAAAAAAAATTCGAGTGTTTTTTAATTCCAGAAACCGTGGACGTCCTTTTTCAGTCTTCTCAGAAATTTAATTATCCTGTTGTCTTTACATGTTCTCTCAAAACTTCGGAGAAACGAGAAAACGCTGAAATTGTATCGACCACACCAAGCCACTGAACACTAATGGCTGATAGAGTGCAATGGCTCAGCCAATCAGATTGCAGCATTTGCATTAGTGTTCAAGTAGAATTCTACTAGTAATGGTTAGAAGAACAATATTGCAGCAACTTTAATCATTCGGGACAACTTTAATTTTGGGTAACGTTTAGATTCTTTGAGCAACTTTGTGAGAAATTTTGAGGATCTTCTTTTAAAACTGTTTGGAGAATCTCGGGGACTCATCAGGGTTTTGAGCGAGAATTACCTAGTACAGCATAATAAACAATACTGCGTAAAATTACCGCTCAATAGCTTTCATTTGAATGGTCACATACTAGGGTTTCATCCGCCTTAGCTGACGGCAACCTAAACCACCCCAATAATGCACTCTCCACTAAATTAAAAGTGTTTTTTTCTCCTTTTTTTAAACTCCCTAACTACTACAGATTTGTTTGAAGGGGAAACTCGCTGCAACGAAACGTGTTCCAAATAAGAAAACACATTGTTACCATTAACAGTAACTTGTGTTCATATCTTCTCAGCGATTTGATGGAAGTGCAGCTGACGGTGATGTTTCGGACTTCCATGAACTGCCATCGACCATAACAACGCAATTTATCCGGTTTCAACCGGTTTCAACGTCCATCTGTTTGAGAGTAGAGGCCTATGGGACACCAGGTATTAATTTTTTTTATGCACATTCATTTGCCAGAGTCATAGAACTTGAAATTTTGCAGCTTTTTGTACTAAATTGATAGAGGGTTAATCAGAGAAACAATTGGACAAAATGAACATTTTGACTGATAGGTGGTGGGGGCGAGGGATGGGGAGGGGTGCTTCTTTTTCCAGCTATATATAGGTATGTAGTCCATCTACTGTGAACGTCTGGNACACTGCTACGCTACTCACTATCTATCACAGAATAGATAGCGAGTAGCTTAGCCAATCAAAGAAGTGCATTCGTGATAGAACGCTAGGAGGTTTACACTAATTAACAATTAGATTATGAGCTCGAGATTTCTATGAGGTGATAGTTGATGAAGCCGAAGGCCGAATCAACTATCACCTTATATAAATCTCGAGTTCATAATCTAATTGCTTTAGTATTTAGTTCTAACTGAAATTTGCTTCAATAACGATTCCAAATATTTTTGGTCGTAATATTAAACTTCTTGCTTTAGAGAATTCGCTCAGACTAAGTTGTCAGTTTGACGTTTTCAGTTGTGTGCGCGCGTTTATCAGTTTCTTTCAAAAAAATTCGAGTGTTTTTTAATCCCAGAAGCCGTGGATGTCCTTTTTCAGTCTTCTCAGCAATTTAATTATCCTGTTGTCTTTACACGTTCTCTCAAAACTTCGGAGAAACGAGAAAACGTTGAAATTGTATCGACCACACCAAGCCACTGAACACTAATGGCTGATAGTGTACAATGGCTCAGCCAATCAGATTGCAGCATTTGCATTAGTGTTCAAGTAGAATTGTACTAGTAATGGTTAGAAATCTTTTTGTAATAGGCAGCTTATTTAATATGAGAACAATATTGCAGCAGCTTTAATCATTCGGGACAACTTTAATTTTGGGTAACGTTTAGATTCTTTGAGCAACTTTGTGAGAAATTTTGAGGATCGTTTTTCAAAACTGTTTGGAGAATCTCGGGGACTCATTAGGGTTTTGAGCGAGAATTACCTAGTACAGCATAATAAACAATACTGCGTAAAATTACTGCTCAATAGCTTTCATTTGAATGGTCACATACTAGGGTTTCATCCGCCTTAGCTGACGGCAACCTCCTATACCACCCTAATAATGCACTCTCCACTAAATTAAAAGTGTTTTTTTTCCTCCTTTTTTTTAAATTCCCTAACTACTACAGATTTGTTTGAAGGAGAAACTCGCTGCAACGACACGTGTTCCAAATAAGAAAACAAATTGTTGCCATTAACAGTAACTTGTGTTCATATCTTCTCAGCGATTTGATGGAAGTGCAGCTGACGGTGATGTCTCGGACTTCCATGAACTGCCATCGATCATAACAACGCAATTTATCCGGTTTAAACCGGTTTCAACGTTCATCTGTTTGAGAGTAGAGGCCTATGGGACACCAGGTATTAATTTTGTTTTTATGCACATTAATTTGTCAGAGTCATAGAACTTGAAATTTTGCAGCTTTTTGTACTAAATTGATAAAGAGTTAATCAGAGAAACAATTGGACAAAATGAACATTTTGACTGATAGGTGGTGGGGGCGAGGGATGGGGAGGGGTGCTTCTTTTTCCAGCTATATATAGGTATGTAGTCCATCTACTGTGAACGTCTGGGTGGTCGGATTGATAGACCTCTCTATCTGGTTACGGGTATCGTTCGTTTTGTCAACCAGTGCGGAAGTTGTCAGCAGATTTAATCCCAGGCTGATTCTCATGGTGACTTCCGTTCACAAGCAGGTTTTCGAAAGGTCTTCATGCACCTACAACCGAACGTGTGTCGCATTGATTGTGCTGGTTACTGTATTTTCTATGGCTTGAAAGCTCTCTTGTTCGACCCTCACCCAGACGATCACACTATACAAACTACTAACACTCTGAGGCCCGGTTCATACGTCGCATTTCTACCGTGTCCAATTCAATTCAATGAATTAAATTTGACAGAAATTCGACGTCTGAATCGGCTGTCGCATTTCTGCCGCACGTTAGACCCGGTTCATACTTCGCATTTCTGCCGTGTCGAATTCAATTCAATGAATTAAATTTGACAGAAATTCGACGTCTGAATCGGCTGCCGCATTTCTGCCGCACGTTCGACTGGTCCTGTCGCATTAACCGACAGAAATGCTACACCGATTCAGACGTCGAATTTCTGCCGTGTCGAATCTAATGCATACATTATGTTAATGTACTGAGCATGCGCAAATGTTTTCCCGCCAAGGAAAAAGAAGCAACTTGGCCATTCTCGACCCAATGCAACCTGAACATATTGCAACATATGCTGCTCTGTTGTCAGCCTTCTCCTTCTCGTTCCATTGGCGGACAATTTTTCGCAAAATTAAAGTCCTTCGTCGCTCGGTATTTTCGTCCGCCATATTGAATACTCTACGTTTAAAACATTTTTCGCTGGCCGACATACCCGACAGTATAAATTCTGAATCAAGTGCGACACAAGTGCGACGTTTGAATCCACAGTCGCATTTCTGTCGCACTTAATTGAATTGAATTCGACACGGCAGAAATGCGACGTATTCCGTATAGGTATGTGCTTCCCTGAAGCGTATAGTTTTTAGCTCAGTCTGAAGGAAGGTATAAATTTTAGCTGAACTTCACCACTGAAAAAGATGTTTTTTTTAATCGTTTTTGCTGGGGAGGAGGGACGACTTGCATGTTGAGAGGAAAACGTTAGACAGGTAAATAACCACAACAGTTACCGTCCTGAATAGGTCTCAGTAGTTTTAAATAAATGATGACAATTTTAAAATTTACAGACAATAACTAAATACTGGAAAATGCTAATAAGTACAATAGCGGGAAGAAGATAATTTTTTTTACAATAAAGAAAAACATGAGAATTACGTGCATAACAAGTTTAAATTAACGTGATTGATTTGATGATTGAGAGAAGAGTTTTCCCACCGGATGTGCAGAGCTTCTTTGATCTTGAGCTGGAAGGTGGTGCTTAAAAGGCAGGTTTTCCAGTATCACACAAAATCGCATGACTGGTTTAGTTAAACGATATTGCGAAATAAAAACATCAAATTAGTTTTCTCCTCCTTTAAAATTGGCTCCCTATTAAGTGTGAAAGATTCTATCCCTACGTGCAGATGTCGTGTATAAATATAAAAATAAAAAAATATCCAACCTTTATTTACCCTCTGCAATGTTCATAGCACAAGTGCTAATGGGACCGAGCAATCAACTGAAACAAATAATTCAAATTGAACATGACATTGTTAAGATATCCCAACTGGCCGGAGGCAAACCAGTTGGCTATTTACAAGCGTAGCCGAGGATTTTTTCCTATATGTTTTTTTTTTTATTTTTTTTTTCCCATTAAGTGTGAAATTGATTCTATCCCTTCGTTCAGGTGTCAGGTATAAATTTTCTTGTTCAGGCCGTAACGACTGCTAGCTGACGAGCTCTAAGCTTCAGGGATTGCTTTCACGTGATTGATCAAGCTAACACCACCTTCCAGCGTCAATTGATGATCCAAAACTCTTTTGGATCATTAGGTTCCATTTTTTCCGCAACTGTTACCATGGAAACAAGAATTACATTTTTCTGTTTCTCAGTTGGTAACTATTTTCTTTATCAAGGTTTAACAAATAATTTTGTGAAATAAAATGGAATTTTTTTCCTTCTTCTTTTGTCAGAGGGAGTGGATGTCACATGCAATGAAAATGATATACTAGTAGAAATCGATCAATCAGTTCACAACATCCCTGACCCAAGTGTTCTCAGCCTGATAAACAACAGCTGCCAAGCCACTTCTAATGCATCGTTCATTAACTTCGATATTACTCTGGGAACATGTGGGACTAGGGTCGTCATCTCCACAGACGGATTGAAATCATTTTACCGCAACACAATTACAAGCTCTGCTGACGCTACGGAGTTTGAAATCATCTGCTCGTATATCCGCGAAGCAACATTCCTTGGCGGAGGTGAGTGGTAAATAATGTAAAGGTTAAGTCTGCATACGAGTCAACTGGCCCCTCAGGCCGGAGCTTATCCCGGATTCTGTAGCATGAAGCGACTAGGAGTGTTTCTACTCGCCCCCTCTGGATGAGAGGCTAGTCCATCGCGGGGTTACCCCCAGCATTAAGTGCGCCGGTACCCATTTATACACCCGGGTAGAGAGACGCATTATATATGAGAGNCTAAAGGAGACCAATCTGGGCGTGGCTCGATCTTTATTTGGCCCCTAAAAGACATTACTTAAAACAGAATGGGCTTGATTACCAGCCGAAGATTACCAGCCGAAGATAGACTAGATACCGAAGATAGACTCGAGATACCAGCGGAAATCGAGCCTAAAAACGGAAATAAGAGCGTTTTTTTATTATTATTTCTTCGAGGACACCCTAAATGATCAGCTTTGACAGCTAAAAATAGTGGCGTTTCGTCAGAATCCTTGATTTATACTCCTAAGCGAGACGACGAACATCCTCGACCTTTTCATATGGGAGTTCCCCAGGAAAGAACTCAAAGAACTGACATTCAAAGGAAACCGCAATGACTTTGGTTAATTGATGTAATAATAAGTGTGTTCAAAGGGTTAATAACCAGAATCAACCAATCACGGATTACATAATTTACAGTACAATATTTTTCAAGTCCTCAGCTTAGCAATGTCCCAGTATTTCCACTAGGTGATACTGTAGTCTCATGTCTTAGGCTTCTAAAAGAGTAACTTTTTGACTTTTTCTTCCAGCTCTCCTTACCGTGTTTTGTTTTTGAAACTGTCAAACGTTACGTCGACTTTCAATCAACAAATTTCATGCTTTTAAGTTTACGCAGACTTTTTAGTCCGTGAAGGAGGCAATTTCAACAGTGTAGTAAATCTTTTCTTCAATAAGCTTGCTGCGGACTGTACTTGGAAAATATCGGCCCTTGGTCTTTTCTGCACAGACCTCGTCGCGCTCTCTCTGTGCTGTTAAGTCCTCGACTAAATGGTTTACCCGTAAGACCCGTGTGCTTGTTTAGTAAGATATATATCTATACTGTACTGAAAGATGAATGCGTAATAAGCAAGCAAAAACAACTAGACCAGAATATATTTCTAACCAACAGGTAGTGGAGAATTCAACTTTAGGATGGAAATATTCACCGATGATGGTTTTACGACAGCTGCCAGTGGCACGATATCACTGGGAACCGAACTGTACTTTAAAATTGAAGTGGAAACTTTTGGCATAGACACTGAAATCCACCTCACAAATTGCCGGGCAACAACTAGTGACGATCCGGATGATCCTGCAGCTGTGGTTTATAAGATCATCGAGGATGGGTAAGATATTCAACAATTAGATTGGTGAACTCGAATTAAATTTATATACCTGCGAAATATCCCTCTATTTTTTATTCCGCGTGAAAATTTCACAGTTAACTGCGAATCACCATTCTTTACACCATGCTATAGAAAATACAGCCAATTAGAATACAGGAAAGCTGTTGTACATTCGACGGTAATACACGTCACCCAACCTTCCCATCGTGCGCTGCGCGTTTGTCTCATTGAATTCTTTAGTCACTGTATTTTCTATTAGGGCATGGTATAAAGTAATTACGCAGCGCTCTCTCGTGGTATACCGAAGGATTGTGTGTATACAGAGAAAATACAAGTGACTCGTGGGATATTCCACTGTATGGTTCAAATAATACATATAATATACTGAGTGCCTTTGTTGCGAAAATTTATTGCTCATCATCATCATCATCATCATCATCATCTTTGTTTGCCACACCGTAAAAAATAATAAAAAATAATAACATCAACAAGTTAAAAGGCGTCGAGGAGACCTCCAAACATCACCAGGCTTATAACAGGAGGCCACCTCAGTTGTTAATTCGACTTCGCCTCGTCTTGGTGAATATTTATCAATGTTCACTTTACCATCAGCGAATAATTGTTAAATAGTGTATAATCAGTTATTAGGAAAACGGCGGTAAAACAACGGAGTTACGGGAAAGAAAAATGGCAAGCGCGTGCAATAGTTTTAAGATTGTGGAGAAATGCTAGGTTTTAATTCTTGTTTTTCAGGATTTCGAAAGTCAACAGTTGATGTAGGAATGTTTTTGGTACACGTATAAATTTATTTTCACTGCATGGCCCAGTGCGGAGAAGTACCTTATGGGAAATATGAAAGCTCCAAGCGCCATGTACAGCGGTTGGAAATTTCAATCATTCTTGACGTCTTGGGTTTTTAGGCAAAATGTAGTGGTGAACAATAAAAGCAATTTAGCGTTTATGTCTCGGGCCTATGGACTGATAGTTACCTTGTAAATTTTAAGTTCNCTTGAGTACCAAATAAACAAAACAGAAGTAACCACTCTGGCCAATCAGAAAGAACGCAGACATCCATTGAACCAATCAAAACACCAAGGGTATGCATGAAGTTAACGAAAGCGCGGGAAAACTTGTGCGCGCGACTCACGATTGTTTTTTTTTTTCTTTCTTCTGATCGAATGATCAGAAGGATCGTGTGACCCGGTCACACCCAATTAGCTTCTTGTTATGGTTTAACTGCAAGTTACTAAAATTTATTGCACTATATAACGTTTATGAGTTTAGCTTCCATTTTCCTTAATTGTCAAACACGATGTTTTGCAGGAAATAATCTAAATTAATTTTGAATAGTGCTTTGATGAAATATACGGGGCCACATATATATCACGCAATTCTAGTTCCATAGCGTAATCATTTATCACGTTGCGCCCGTTAGTGTAAAGTTTCAAATGCTGTTTTTGCAATCGTTTTACACCAGTCCTCTCAAACTTATTTAATGTAATAAGCATTACATATAAGGAAATACTGTTTTATTATCATCTCTGTTAAAATCTTGGCTCTTAGTCTTGAATTATAAATGCCATAACAAATGCCTTTGTGTTTGCTGTTTTTATGGCTTTAATTAATTAGGATTTTCTTGAATTTACCTCGGTGAATCGAAGTCTTTTCTTTTCTATGTGGATGCCGGTAAATCACACCACAGATCATGTTACGTTGAGATCCATTTTGCATTTCTACCCACAGGCATCCACATGGTAACATGCAAAACGTTATGGATTTTCTTAACTCTACTATTCAAAAGATTGATGGGGAGAATAATTTCTGCATCTTCTTAGGAGATTTTAATCTTGACCTTCTTAAACTGGATTCTCACCCAGATATAGATACTTCATTTCAGTCACAGAAATGCAATATTTTGTTATTATGTTTTTTTGTTTTGTTTTTTTTTTTACAGAACTTTTGTTCTTGTTTAAATCGCTTTACCTCATAAACTTGTTATTGTTTCAGTGGAAATACGGTATTTCAGAGTTCCTAACCGCTCACGAGAATGCTATTTGATCCTTTCAAGGTCTTTTAATGGTGACGATTATTAATATGACCCTTTTAAGACGAATTCTGAGGGAACTTCTTTTCAACGGACACCATGTATTAAGCGGACTAGCATGGGTCCCGAGGGTGTCCCCTAAAACAGGTTTGACTGTATTATGGAATACGCGCGATGGACTAAATGTGTTTGAAAGGAAAAAGAAAAGAAAACCATTGCTACTAAGATGTTTCTTGTGGTAAACTGAGAATGAACATTAAACACTTTTATTACTACAGCAACTGGGTTGTTCCCTGCAATTCTGTTCAGGTGAGAAAATTGACCAAGTGATGGAAGGTGTACTGTGGATGGAACCCTAACGTGTTACCATTCACACGACGAAACGCTGTTGAGTTGTAATTTCATGGGCTCCGTTGCTGCTTTGTTTTGTATTATGGCAAATGAACTTTAAAGTATTTCAGTAATTAACTTCTCTTGAAAGTGAAGTAAAGTTGAAGTAAGGTAAGTCTTTATAGCTTTTTGAAAATAGAAAGGCTGATTGTTTCTGGTAAAACGTAACTGCACTCAGTAGAGGAAGGCTAATAAGGCCGGCCCAGCTCAAACGCCGAACTTCACATGAGACGAACTAAACTGAGCGAGTTAAGTTCATGATAAGTTCGACGTTTGACTCTGAGTTCATCCCACTGAATTTAGATCGTCCAGCACGTTCTATGCGTGTGAAACAGACGTGTTGGTCGATCTAAGTTCGAATTAAGATCGACGTTTCACCTAACGTTCGGCTTTACCCGTTAGGATTGACCGTCAAATTGCAATTTAGTTCGTTTCATGTGAAGTTCGACGTTTGAGCTAGGCCTTAGTCTCTGCTACCTTAGTCACTCTTATTTCTATTTTCATATCTAAAATACTTTCCACCAGTTTCATTACACGATATCGAGTAATTCAAGAAAACGAATTTGTACCCGCGTGTTTCAATGGGTTCGCTTGGTCGAAAACCAAATCTTCTCTGATCACTGATTGCGGTAGGAGCAAAGTTTACAACACTTTTGTTGTGTTGCAACGAATTATTTATAGAGAACGTTATCTCGCCTCATTCTTTTTATGCCGAACTGAAAACTATCAAAAATGCAAAAATGGTGGTTTGTTTTTGTTTTTCTCCTTGTTTTCCAATTCATTGCTGTATTTTTCCATTCGGTAAAGGGAACTAAAATGAATTGTCTGATTGTCTGCTTGTGTCTGCATGTTACTTATCCACAAGGGTAGGGGACTCATGTTCGTGGGTCTGCGGGGACCTACACACTTGGACCTAGGACTAGAAGTTTATAATAAGAAGAATAATCAACTTTCTTTATTGAGGGTAACACAGAACAGTAATCATTGAAAAACCAGTGGCCCTCTGGGCCACAAATATTCTGGGTAATAAATATTTACAGAATAAAAAGATGACGTGTTATAAATTAAAAATATAGAAAGATTCTCAAATATGCAACGATAATATAAAAAAAAACTAAGACATGAGACACACTAAAATAAAAATAAAATAAAAGTTTGCTGGCTGAGTGAGTCCCAACATTCACTTCAGCCTTTTTCTAGATGAATCACTGTTCCATTCGAAGCGGGGCTTGAAGCCGAGTGTGTAAGGTTTACGGTCAAGTTCTTAAAGTTGCAAGAGTAAAGGAAAACAATTTTATCTTTAGATGCTTTTGTATTATCGTTAAAAAATAAGTCTAAAACGTAAATAATACCACAAGTCCATACACAAAATGTAATTTTGTTGGATTACGCAACCAATAATGTCCTGTTTTACAGGGGGTGGGTCATGTAATTTTCAACCTTGATTTAGAGGTGGGTCACTCAGTTTTGTGCCAAATGGAAGGGGTGGGTCATGTGTTTTCTATATCCATCTCATTTTCCAATGCTCCAGCCCACCCACCACCTATACTTTATGACCAGTCCCTTAGGCCTACGTCCTGGGTTTAGTTCTTTTACCTCCTTTGAATAACCGTGTCAGAGATAAAAAACAAAAGTTAGTCCAGTGTATTTCCACAATGTCGTTGTTACTGCCAACATTAAGTCGACAAGTCAAGATTCCTAACACTGCAAAAATCTAGGCACACACTGTAACTGTTTTAGTTCACGACGAAATCGGTTTATCACTTGACTTCAAACTCAAAGTTTTTACTTCAAGTTCATCAAACGCCAAGTTATCCCTGGCGAGGTCAGCGGTAATATCTTTCACCGCAGGCCCACGAGAACTTTGAGAAAGTCTTATCATCACTAATGAGCCAATTACTATCGCCATGACAGCCAAAGAACTGATACAGATAATGATCACCATGGTAACTGGAAAGTTTTCACTGTCTGCAATAGTCTCGGATGGATCTGAAAAGAGACAGAAAATTTATAAACTTGAACGGTTCTGACACAAACAGACTGATGAGATGAAATGTATTAGTAACAGCCACATTAAACCATTATGCCATAGTTGATGATGTTCTTTTTCGCTTTACCTGTCTTCAGCATGTACTCTTGAGTTTTGTGCATATTCCCTTCAATATCGTGACTATATACAAGTTACGCAACGGTCTCTCGTGGTATACCATGCAATATCACACTTGTCACTTGTATTTTCTCAGTGTACACATAAGCTTTTAGACGAGTTTGTACACCAAGAAAATACAAGTGACAAGTGGAATATTCCATGGTATAGCACGAAAGAGCTTTACATAACTATTTTATTCCATGCCATAGAAAATACGGTGGCCAACAGAATCAGTGCGACATACGCGCAGAGCACGATGGGAAGGTCGGATGTAATACCGTCGAATATACAACGGCTTTCCTGTATTCCGATATTTTCTATGGCCTGGTATAAATACTAGTATATCCTTTTCGGCAAAATGTTGGCCTTCGATTCAACAGAACACACACGGGGTGTAGTTTACGGATGAGCTCGAAAATCCACCTGTCGTTTCAGGCCGATCACAAGAGGAGCGTGAGAAAGAATGGATGTTCTAAAGCTATGCAGGACGTAGAAGGCGCTAGAACTGATTTTAGAAAGAGGATTTAAAAAGGAACTTTGTCCTTTGTGATAAAAAAGCAACAACAACAAGATGGAATGTGCAATATTCGAGGAGGTTTTTGTTCCCCACCTCTGT